CTAGGATTATACAACCACACCTTGTCTCCTAGTACAAAGCTGACTTCAATAGATCTCTTATCATAAAATAACTTCATCGGATCAGCAAACATTTTCAAGTTTGAATGCACTTGATGGTGAATATCATCCATCCTTTCCGATAACACTTTCACGAATTCTGACACATTCTCAGGCAACTCTTCATAAGGTGGGCGTCCTGTTAACAGATCCACTGGCAACCGAAGTTCCCGACCAAACATCAACTTTGCTGGAGTGTATCCAGTGGTTTTATGCTCTGCTGTCCTATAGGCCATCAACAGTGGAGGTAGTAAGAGGTAGTCATCTTGGTGGCTATTACAAAACTTTGCCAATTACTGTCCCAGTGTCCAGTTGTACTTTTCTACCATCCAATCAGACTGTGAGTGCAGTGGCATTGTCCTGGTCTTTTGGATGCCAAACAACTTGCAGCATTCTTGGAACACAGCTGATTCAAAGTTACGGCCTTGATCTGAATGCAGTTCATATGGCACACTAAATCTAAGGAAGAAATCACCAATAGCTGAAACTACAGTTGTAGCTTCCTGATTTGGTATTGCATATGTCTCAGGCCACTTGGTGAAATAATCCATCACCACACGAATGTACTTGTTTCCAGCACGAGTTTGGGGCAGAGGACCAGCAATGTCGACGGCTACTCTTTCCATTGCTGTGCCAACTTGATATAAATTCATTGGAGCATGTCCCTTATGCTTGGGTCCCCTTTTAGCACAACATGTACTGCATGTTCTGCACCATTCTTCCACATCTTGTCTCATACCTATCCAGTAAAATTTGTGTCGTATGTGACTCAATGTTTTCTTAACTCCAAGATGCCTTCCTGTTACAGTATCATGGGATTGATGCAACACAACTTCCCGTAACTTTCTTGGTATAACAGTTTGCCAGGTCGTCACTTTCCCATCTGCAGTTTCCCATCTCCGGAGAAGAATACCATTTTCAAGTTTCAACTGGTCCCAATAGTTCTTTGTCACAGGGCTTAGACTAGA